ATGAATATTTAGTACTTTATAAGAGTAATTAAGTATTTTATAAAAGACGAAACTCAAATAATATCTAAATCTTTCTATAATCTGAATTAATTTTAAGTAAAAATGTAGTTATTAAATCTGTTTTGAGTTAATTCAATATTCAATATATATTTATATATATTATTTCTTTTATACAAAATTAATTATATTAAGGTATTACAGGTATCCTAGGATTATAAAAATGAAAATTCTTATGATTAATAATAATAATTAATATGACAATAATTTTTTAATACATACATATCACACGTTGCAAAATTATATTTTAATTTTTTACTTTTAAGTATGTACATAAAATAACAGTAAATTTATTTTTACATTTTTATTAAATTAAAAGTTATTGTAATGAAAATAAACCTCAAGTGATAAATACTATACATTTTAAATTTTAGTAAAAATATAGGAATTTCACAGCGTTTGTTAAGAACCTGGTTAAATATTTAAAACTATAAAATACTTATGCTACATGAGCATTGTGTAATTTTGACATGTCTATAGTCCAACAAGCTATATCCATCATTCAATCGATAAAAAATGCTACTAGGACAGCGTTTAGGGTATTTCACTGCGTAAAATAATTTATTACAAAAGAAGCACACGACTCGAAAACCAATAGTTTTCTTAAATTTAAAGAATGCAATTCAACAATAAATAAAATAATACCAGATTTAAATTACAGGGAAAAATAATTTCACAAACCTGGGGTAAAAATTCTTAAAGTGAATTTAATTCAGAATGTCAAAATTAATTAACTAAAACGGGAGTATGCATCATTACATCATATTACGAACATAATATACTAACTTTAAATGAAGGCATACAATACAGTTTTATTACAATAAAGCTATAATAAAGATAAGAATTAAAAAACTACAATAGGTTAGAAGATATTATAATTTATAATCCCAATTATAATCAGTAAATTTTATTTTTTAGCTTTTCGTCCATTGTTTTTCACTGAAAGCTTAATAACGAGCTTATTATTGAAATATTTATACATCAAAAGTTCTATTTCCTACTTTAAATTTTCAACTAACCATTATTTTAGCATATTCGTAAATTAATTTATAATAAATATTAAAACTGCAAATATTTCAAAAAATAAAATTTAAACAATATAATATAATGATAATAGGACGCAACCTCGGACTAAAATTATTATTGTTTCTATAAATATTTTCTACGGAGTATTGGTACCACCCGTGTCTGATTTTAAATTCACAAATATATTTACATTATATTTTCGAATTCTTTTATATTTGAAAATATAACAGTAATAACAGTTAATCTAAATCTAAATCTTTGAGATATCAATAAAAAACAGACACATAGTAGATTATATTTTAATTCTATAATATAATTAAAAAATATTAGTGCATATGATTAATTAATATATTATAAGAGTTTACTAAGACATGTAGTATTACTATATTTACCACTTCACTATATAATAGGTTAACTATTTTATCTAAGTAGGTACTTAATTAGTCATCTTGACAAAAACTACGGGTATATTTAATTATATTACAATTTCATTTAAGTATTATCATTGATTATAAATAGTACTATTTAGTTACTCTTTATAATCAATCATATTATTCATAACCTAGATGTTTTAGTCTTTGCTAATTTGTTGAACTTACGTATGGGTAATATAGCACAATATACAGGGGCATAATATTCAGAGATAAAATACATTAAGAAACTGTAATACTTTTCTGTTGTAGTTCTTTCTTATATCAATTTCGATTATTATAATTTATTTCATTACGATAATAATAATTTAGATCCATTCAATTAAATAGGTTTATTTTATTAAGCCTATTAATATTTACTTTCTTACCTATTTTGTTGACCATATGAGGTTTTAAAATTAATATACTCGTAACTTACCGTTATAGTATTTTTAAAATGTTGTTATATTATTTTATATTCGTGTATATATTTACATAAAATAATGGAAATAAAACAATCGTTTTATTCACGTCTTTTTTTCGTTATTACAAAGGATGTAATTTTGATAATCTGCAATTGGTAGGTATATAGATTGGACAAGTTTAATAAAAACATAATATATAGTTCTACAACGAAAAAAATCAATAGGAATCAAAATTAACGTCACATATATCCGTCTTATACGGTAATCATCAGAATCCAAACTATTAAATTATAATATATAACAGAGATGAGAAACTCAATGTAACAAGAGGGCCAACTTTTAGAATTTCAAATTCTGGCAGGCCATAGTAAAAAAATGAAACATGAAAAAAGGTCACCGAAATTGACTATTAGCATTTATTTTCAACAACTTAAGTTTACGTCTAAACCATTACAATAAAATAAGTACCTAACACATATACCTAGCTATGTTAGCTATACCTACCGATATATAGGTATATATTAAACTTAATAATTAAATGATTTAGCTGGAGTTCAATGATAGAGAAAATATAATATCTACATTTTACGATCAATGTGATAAAAATTAAAATGTGATGAATTGTTTTGAAAATATAGTTTGAGCCAAAAAAAAAAAGTAAGGGGCCGCCAGTTACCCATCCCTGATATATAATATTAAATCTGATACTCGAATCGATATTATATTCAAAAACAATAGTGGTGATAGAAATTTTTATTTATTTGGTATAAGATTTGGACTTGTTACTCATACACTATTATATATTGTATTGTTAATGTTGTTGATTCGATAATTTTATTGGAAAACTTTTTGTCGACTATTGATTTATGTAAAAACATAAATGTCCAACAAAATAACAAATTTAGATAAAAACAAGAACCTACAACATTTAAGGTTAACATATAAGGTAAACAGTCTTCAGGGTTCAAATATTATTAATTTAATGTTATTTAATAATATATATATATTAATTTAATTAATATTATTAATATTTTATTGTTACATTAGTTCATGTTAAAACATATTTTATATTTTCAATATTGTATAGAATTGAAATGTTAACAATATATAAAGGCATACAAATTTAAGAATAATGTCTATACCAATAATTATTTTTTAAGATATATTTGAACCTTAAAACCAAATTAAAATACTTACTACAAAATTATTATAATATACCTGCATAAATATTGAGATAAATATCAAATAGTATAGCTTCAAAATAATGTTTTTTATTTAAAATTAAACTAACAAATAATAAATAATAAAATAATAAATTACATGAACATATCTTAATATCTTAAAATTATTTCAAAATTGTTTATTGTTTTTTTTAACAATTTAAACAATATTATGATTGTTTATGCATTTATACTATACATTTTTTTCAATGTTAATTAGACTGTGAAACTACATAAATTATAACTAAGCACATCACACAAGTAGTCATAAAATAACTATAAAGTTAGCAAAATTGGTTAAATTGTTTAAAAATTTAATATGTTTCTAGAAGCAAACCATTGTCATCAGGAAAATGTTTTTGGCAAATATTCAATTTGGACTTCACCCAGAAAAATCTAAACTAATATTCATTACATTATGACTTCTTAATATCATTTACACATTGCCATTAAAATATTTATCTTTTCTAATTTTTTTATTTTGAACATCAAAACTTCTTAAAAAACAAGACTTATTTAAACATTAATAAAATAACAAAAATGAATATTTAGATATTAAATATTTTGGCCCCAAAAACTTTATTATTATTAAATAAATAATTATAATATATAAGACTTACAAAAAACTATAGTAATTATTTCAAATTTTAATTTTTTAAATAATAATAACTATAATTTAAACTTAATTTTTTAAAACAATTTATCACTTAATTAATTGTTTGCTATTTTTGATCTGTACCAACCTAACTGAAGTGTATTGATTAATAACATTGGACTTTGCATATGACTAGATATGAATATAAAAAAAAATCACATGGTTAAAATCTAGCATTTGTTGAAGAATACAAAATAATTGAACATTTTTAAGTAATAAAAACGAATCCGAATCTATTAATTATGGTAGAATGCTTTTTAAATTTTATATTTTTCATATTTAATTTTTATTTTAAAAATTAACTTTCAAAATATATGAAATGTAGAATAATGTAATTGTTATACATTTTAAAAAATTGAGCATTGATAAATATAACCAATTTTCAGAGTGCATAAAAATATTAATTCTTTAAGTTGAATTCCAAGTCAAAATTTTATTTTTTGTAAATGTTTTTTTCTTCTGTTCTTAGAGGTTTGGTAGGATTTGATAGGATAATATAATTATTTTTTTAAAGTCATATCTATACTATTTTCAGTATATGAAACCATTAAATTTGAAATATAATCATTTCATGAAAATTTTAACTAACAAATTTATACAACTATTAAGATCAAAAATATTATTAATAAATAGTACCAAAATTATGATCTAGCCTAACTGTACTTACATTTAATTAATACTTCAATAGTATAAAATATGACTTAAAATAATAAACTATACCTATTTAAAAATATTTTAAGAAATTATATAATTTTATTGTCTCTACCCTGTGGCTAGGAAAAACTATTGATATCACAATACCTACCTACTGGCTACTGAAATAGAGTATACTGATAGCTACTTAGAACCAATTTTAAATACAAATATGTACAAAGTTTAAATACAACTAATTATAATACCAATATAAATAATTTTGACGAATAAGTACTTTATCTTTACAATTATTTTTAACGAATAAAGTACCAACCGACTTAAGAGCTACATTAAAAGTTAGCAGAGCATACAGAGAAAACATAAAATATAATAAACAAGGTATTTTTTTTTTTATTTTTTTTTGGTGAATGAAATATAATGTTAATCATTTCAATACAATAAGGAAAAATGATTTAAGAAAAAAAAAATTCAAACATTTTTCTTAACTAATAAAAATTACTCAAAAAAAAAAAATATTATACAGAAATTAAAAAACTTAACTAAGTAATCTTACCGTAGTGTTTGTGCTAGCTACTGTCTTGATTAACGATGAATTATTCCAAATTGTATTCTCTACAGTTATTTCACGTCACTTATAGGTAAATAGATTTTAAAAAAGGAACAAATTTTGAAAATTATTTTTATTTAATTTAACAGATGACCAATCGGTACGCGTTTCATACCGGACACTTATATGGACAATATTCAAACAGAAATGTTAGGATAGAACAAGCTAAGCAAAGACTCAATAACATTAATTGTCTGATAAATTGGTCGTCCAGTACTCGGAGCGTAGACTTTATAAATATTGGTCATGTTCTCTGTGTTGAAACTCAGCAGACCACAAATCAACGGACAACGGAAATATTATATTAATTTAACAGGTTAGACACACACTTACACACTTACACTCACACACACACACACACACACTCATACATAAATGAGGATACGAAACTGTGCGATACTTTTTTCTATATTTTCTCTACGGACGTTTGTAGCGGAAAAAAAAATAATAACAAAAACAATATTAATAAAACAGTATTAAAAAAATAATAATTTAAACAAAACTTAAAAAAAAAAAAAAAAAAAAAACAAATAACGAAAAAAAAAACCAATCCCACGACGTAAGAACGCACAGCGCACGGCACACGACGACTACCTACGGAACGTACACGCAGACTTGAAATGAGACGGGAAAAATAAATAAATAAATAAATAAAAAATATACATACGATACGCTCTATAGGTAATATACATAATGTATACACCTATACACGCGCGTACGCGAGCGCTCACTTATGTTGTGCGGTGCACGCGCACGCACGCGCACATGTGTGTTATGACATGTACCGTACGCGCGTGAACCACTGGTGCACATAAGCTTTTATCACTGGGCTGTTGTAATTAATGCGGACGACAGGTTGTGCACATCGGACAATCGAAAGTTTGCTCAACCCTTTCGTGATAAGAACTCGTGCCCGGCGCCCACGTCCGGGCCACCAACCGTCGTCGTCGGGGCGCCAACGATATCTCTTCACCCCTCCGCAGCATCATCCTTATCATCGTCATCTGTGGAACGTTACGCTCCGCCGGTGATAAGAACGCTGTTCCGCCGTTTCCGTTCACTCCTGCGCCGAACCCAGCCGCGTAATTCAACATACGGACAATCGCCTCCACCCTCCCTCAAAAACGTGTTGTAATAACCGCGAATTAATACACGCGATATACTCCGCTTTACAGCACTTTATTGACCCAATCATTTTGAAGGAGTGCAATCACTCCACCGTCCCCAAAATAACCTCCTGCCGCAGGCTTGGAGGAACTGAAACGTCCTGAGCCGCGGAGCTCGTAATCCGTAACGGTTCCCGTGTCCGGCGATCACCGCAGCAGCAGCAGCAGCGTCCAGTGCGCGGAACCACGGAGGTATCGCGCGAAATCGGTTAACGCCTCGCCTGAACCATGCACTGTGCGGGCACCCGCGCCACAACCACCACCACCCGGAGCAGAGTGCACGGATGATAGGTGTTATCTGTTCCGCGGTGATACCACAGGTCCCCGCATGACACGCCGTCCGCCAGGCAGAACTGTGATTTTCGACGCGTTTTCCCGCCGTTTTTCCCAACCGTCGGTTCCTAATGATAGGCTGATAACGTTGTTCTTCGAACGTACAAGTCGTCGCGCCGTGTTGACATTGTTCTTTTACTGTGACAACAGTTCTCGTACGACCGAAGTGAAAATAAGCGAAAGCTACATTATATTGTTATGCGTATGGTCGCGTTTCGTTGCACCGCCGTTTAAAACAACACCATTCGATCCGTGTCGTAACGGCACGGTGCCGTCGAGTAGGATGAACGGTTTCGGACATGACAACCCCGGCCAGAGCATATTTCAGGGCTCAGACTTGGCCAACATTCAAGTGAACAATGACTCTCAAGACGACAACGAGGACCATTTGGACATTCTAAGGCTGGACCAAGAGGTATTCTCATTTTTATTTTATTAGTACGTTTTCCAGTGAGTGGTTAATGATTGTTTTCCTCGTGATTTGTATTGCAGTAATTTGCACGGCTCTGTTCCGTTTTCGGGTTCACATCACCGTGTGTTAATTTCTTTTTAAAGGCCGACGATTAAATGCTTTGAAAACCAAGATAATCTTCCTCAAATTAAATATGTTGCTCAAAATTATTTATGCATTTCTAATGAACAAACGTTTGGACAGAGTCAAATATTACTGTTTTAAAAAAAATATCTAAATATTTATAATCATATTAAATTATATACATAAATATTTAAGATAAACTTTTTAATATTTTTTGGTTTTCGTATATTATAGATTTCAAATTTATATTTATTTTAATGTATCTGTAACAAATCAATTTAAATTAGGGCATTTTCATATATATCCTACTATAAAAAAATGTTGGTTAATAATTGTTTGAGTTATGTATTTTAGTATTGTAATTATTATTTTTAATCTAACGCAATTATTTTGTTTTGCATATTATTTAATAAATTTATGAAAATGTACATATAAAATAATAGAACGTAATGTATAGCTTGTAAAATGATTAACATTGTTTTAGCTTAAACTTGAATTGGACGAAGTATTCAATGAAAGTGGAGCAAACATGAGTGTTATTAGTTCAAGTCATTGTAGTGATGCTTCTGAAGATGGTAACTAACTATTGAATTATTTGAAAATATTATTACTATTTTATTTCGATGGACTGCTTAGGTATTGCTTTAGAGATAATATAATTTATTAATTTTTACTAATGTTCAAACAAATTCTTAATTCATGAAAAATAACTATCAACTTTACTTCTTGGATTTCTAATATCATTTTATATTATTAGGGTGAGTAAAAGTTATTCATTTTAAAATGTACAACAATTATCAACACCTAAGAAAATATTCATAATAAGTTTTTTTTTTTTTTAATTATAAACCTGAATAATTTAAATTACCTACCTCCTATTGTTTGATATTTTAAATTGCATAATGTTGTGTATTCATATTGTAACTTGGCAACCATATGCATGCATATTAGTCTATCTTTAAATGTTAATACTTTTATTATTGATAACTATTTTTCAGAGCTTGAAAGTAATTTAAGTCACTCGCGGTCTACTCACAAATTAAAGAGAAAAAAAGCACCAGTACTTTCTAATCCGGCATTTGAACATTTACAGCATTATGTAAACACTAACTTTCAACCTGATTTTCATACAGATGGTAAACAACAGACATTTACTAATTCATTACTTTAGTTCTTATTGATTAAATAACTTATTCTTATAATTTTATTGTAGGTTCATATCCTTCCCCAATACCACAGTATAATTCTCAACTCAAAAATGATAAACTTGTTACTTCCAATGATGTTATAGAAAATGTTAGCAAACAATATATTTATGAAGGTAATGTTACTTTTGAAAAAATTATGTATAATAGATTAAACAAATGTGTTAAAGAAATATTGATATTTCATACTACTTATAGTTGTTTATAATAACACTATTGATTAATTAAAAACATTTTAAACTGAATATATACTTATAATAATAGGCATCAATAAATTATTGTCATAAAATATAATTATATTATGATTTTATAGTGAACAAATCAAAATATTATTGACTTTATATATATAAATATATCATACTATTATTAAACGTTAATACCCTTTTATGAATATTTTAACATTTTAAAATACAGTTTGTTTTTTAATTACATGTAGAATTTGTGTTTCTTCTTCTTCGTATCTGACCATTAAAATGGTATACTGCCATACATAATTCTTGCCACTTATTTCTATCGCTAAACCATTCGAAATCCAGCTCAGTCCTTTTTACGTCCTTTTTTACTTAATCCTCCCACCTTAACCGTGGACATCCCAGAGATATTTTTTCATTAGGAGCCCCACATTGTACCAGACGAATTTGTGTTTATTTTTCATAAATTGCTTCTAAAGTATGTTGTTAACATAGTAAAAGTGCCAGCCTCATATATATATATTAATTAAACCGTTATTATAAATTGATTTAATGTATACACTTTACAGGAATATCAAATGAAACAAATTATGAAACTTTGCAAGTTCTCTATGAAGTGAAAACTAAAGAAGTAAAAAGATTGGAAAAAGAATTGTTTGAATTAAAAACACAATCAGAAGCAAATATTGACAATTTTCGTAAACAATTATTAATGAGTGAATCTGAAGGTCAAAGAAGAGTCATGGAGTATCAACGTCAATGTGGTAATAAAATTAAATTTCTGTACCAGTTAATTGATATACTTAACTATTATAAACACTACAAGAATTTAATGGTAATAATATCTTACTCTATAATAAAAGAACAACTTCATACAATCTATTAAATGTCTACTTGATTAACATTTTATGTGCAAATTATTCTGAAATTAATGTTAGTTTTAACTTTTTCGTTGTTGGAATATTATTTTTATTATAAGTTGAAAAAAAAATTTTGTTTTAAATATTATAAAAAAATTATAATTTAATTAAAATGTAATTAAAATATTTGTCTAATGTATCTCCATGACAACTTTTGTTTTACTAGTTAATTAAGTTATTGTTATACTTATACTAAAACTGTTTTAAACCAAAACATTTTGCTAGAAATAATATTAAATATTTAGATTCACCTTTTAATATTAAATAATCATAAACTTTTATGATGTTTCTGTAAAGTATTCTGAATCCTTTTTTAAAAGAATATCTCCTTTTTTTAAATAATTTTACAATTTTTCCATCATATGAATTGCATTCATATTTGTATGAAAAAAGATACATAATATTTTATAATTTTATTATTTTGCTTTCTATTATTTTTAATGGGGCTGTATTATTACTTTTAAATTTTGTTGCAACTGTTTATAAACTATAAAATATTAAAAAATTATTAGTCTTCAGAGTATAATTTTTTATAAGTATTCAAGTAATTATTCTAATTACTTTTAAAAAGTATTTTATCCTATCTGATACTTTGAAATTTGGTTATCTAATCATACACTAGGACATAACTTAAAAGTTTTTTTTACATTAATACAATTATTATTTACAAATTCTATAACTTGTAATCAAAGTATTATTAGTGCATCACTATTTAAAAGTTTTTTAAAAAAACATTTATGATTTCTTGAGTCATTATTCATAAAAATTTTTTATCTATATCAAAAAAATTAATAATACTGAATAATCGTAGAAAAATATAATTTAAAAAAAATAATAATAATAACATAAATAAAAAAAAATAACAATTTGGTATACTTATAATGTATATGGTTTTATCATATATTTTAGAAAGAGAAAAAATACTATATATGAAATAATATTATTTTTGTAAATAAATATAAAGAGTTCTATGATATATATAGTAGTATGTGATAAAAGTATATAAATTATAAATGTATCAAATTTTTATTTTGTTTTATTTCGTATGTAATATATAATTTAAATAAAATAAAGTATTAAATGAATAAAAGAAATTCATTGTCAGATATATACATAATCAATAAAATTGTGACTGTTAATAAGTCATAAATCTGATAATGAATTTTTAATTTGAAATCCTTTGTACTTTAAAAATATAACAATACTTCAGGCTAAGCATTTATTTATTTATTTTTGTGTATGAACCATTTGTTTATTTATTTAAATACTTAAAGTTTTATATTATTCATTTTAAAACCACAACATTTAGCAATATTTAGAAAGCACATTTATTTTATAATAGAATAATAAAATATTATTATATTTTAGAGAATTTAAAAAAACATAATGAACATTTGGAAAAAGAAAATTTAAAGTTGAAGGAGAAAGCAGAAACTGCTGAAGCATCCAATTTTAAGGTTAATTTTTTGAAAATTATTATTTGTAAATTTGTTTTTACTTTATGGCTTAATTTTAAAAATCAATATTGATTATAGTTAACCAAAGAACTAGAAAAAATTCGCATTAATATGATAAACCTTGAAGAACAGCTTACTAATCTCTCACGTAATAATGGATCTAAACAATATGACACAAATGTTGACTTTATCATGAATGATTTAAAAAAGAAACATAATCAAGAAGTAAATAATTTACAGGACCAATACAAAAGTATCTTAGAACAAATTAAATCCAAAGTACTGTATTATTTGTTACTTAAATATATATATGTAATCATTATCTTATATTTTATAGGATCATCATTGTGCATTATTAACTAATGAATTAAGAAAATTACAACAAGAACATCATAATACTATAGTGGAAAATAATAATATTATTAGTAACTTAACTAAAGAATTAAGTATGGCACAAAAAAAAAGACTATCAAATTCCAATAATTCTGATGAAATTTTAATCTTAAACAATCAGCTTATGGAATGTTCTAAACAAAATCATGATTTAAATAGTACATTGAAGAAGTTAACAGTGAGAATATAGTATAATATTAAAACAGTGTATTTTTTATTAATTAAGTTTTCTCTTTAGGCTGAAAATGAGAAACTTCGTGCTAATTTAAGTTCTTCAAATGTAAGCAATGACAAAAATATTGTAAATGATGTAAGTAAATTAGAAGAAGATTATCAAAAGAGTATAGAATTGTTACAAAAACAAAGAGATGATGTAAAACAATTAACAGAAATTCTAAGTAAGAAAGATAGAAGTATTGCTGAAATGGAAAAAAAAGAAGTAACATATCAACATTGTATGCGCAAAATACAGGTAAAACAACAATTATAAATTTTCCAATCTAATAAATTATTTAAATTTTATTCAACATATTTCAGCAAGAATTGGAAAAATATTCACATGATAAAAGTAATGGTGATAGTTCTAATCATGATTGTGAAACACTTCGTAATGCTCTTGAAATGCAACTTGAAGATACTATGTGTAAGCTTATTCGAACTGAAGAAGATATGTCTTCATCTGCAAATCAAACTATGGAAAAAGATAAGTTGATCAGCAATAGTTCAATTGAAGAATACATGCATTATCATAAGTCTTCATTGGAAAATGTTACAAAACAGAAAAATAAAGAAATAGAACTACTCAAGTACGTTTAAATGTTATAAAAAGAGAACTGCATCATTTTTCCTTAACAAGTGTATTAAAATATCAAAATTTAAAAATAGTGGTAGAAAACAAGTGGTTCTTTTAAAGTTAAAGCAAATGCCAGAATTATTTATTTTGTTTTCCATAACCCTATAGTTAAACAATTAGTTAATTAATTAGTACTGGAAAATATCTGAACATTTTGATTTTCAAACCTTATAATTATAAAATAATTTTTTTAATATTATTATTTAATATCAACATCTAATCAGTTAATTTTATGTTTTACTTAATCAGAATATTAATTCATTCTCAATTTATTACTATGTATAAAATTGGATTTATATCATTGATAAAATTAATACTTCAAAATAGCATCCACATTCAAGTATTTTTTTTTTTTTTTTAGTAAAAATGTGAAATCCATACATTTGACTATATTACATCTAAGCTATCAATTTGATAAAATTAATTCCCAGAAAAAATAAATATAATGGATTTTTGGGTATTTGGATTTAAATTATTTTCTAAAGTTTATTTTTATTTTTTGAGTACTTAAAGTGATTATAGTGTAATGTATACTAATAATTTCATAAATAATATCCAATCACATTTAAATTTTTTTTTTCCATTGATTAAAGCCTCCAACTTTTTTTGACGATGGGTCAATTCTGAGATACATTTTGGCATCACAGACATAACATTTTTAGAGGAATAGAGAGGTAATGAAATTAAAGAATAGATAAGATTTATTTAGATTTTAGAAAAGTTTACTTCTTATTTTAATAATTTAAAATTGATTTTATTGAGGTACGAATAATTTATTCAATGAAAAGTTTGGAATTACTGTTTTTTAAATTTTTTGATGGTTTGTATTGAACTTTGTTATGCCAATCAACAGAGTCGCTTACAAATTTTCATTGCTTAAGTTACTTTTATACTTATATTTGACGTATTTCATTTTTAATAATATCTGTTCACATAAGTAGAATATAAAATATTGAAATAATTTAGTGTGCACATTTTTTTCAAATTTTAAATAATATTGACATAATATCAGGAAACTTGGTGGGCCGGTTTAAAAAGCTTAATGGGCCCTAGTTTGACTAGCTTGACAATAGGTTGGTGACCCCTGGGTTAAAGTATTAATATTGTTTAAAATGTCAGTTTTACTGAAAATTATTTTATATTATTTACCTCATTGAACAATGGATAGATATATTATAATACATTACTTAAGTATTTGAAGGATCATTTTTTTCTTTGGTATTGTGTTTGTACAATTTTAGTAGGTAGCAAATTATAAAATAGTTATAGATAAGTTAATCTATTACTATAATATATAATATAAAACAACCAACCCTATGGTTTGTTGTAAATTTTAATTAATATTTTTTTTACTGTGCTTATTAGTATTACTTTATTCGTATAATCTGATCTTAGCATTTATAAAATAAAATTATTAATAGTAAATTATTAATAATTAGTGTTACAATTACGACATTATATATTTTTATTCCAATCAAATCAATGTGTACAATTTTTAAAAATTTTATTTTTCTGAAATAATAATTACTGTTTTCTAAAATTCTGAAAATAATGTTTTATAATTTTAATTTTTCAAATTCAAATATTTAGAGACCGAATAGAACATTATATTAAAGAAATTGATGAACTCAAACAACTCTATGTTAGTGTATGTTCAGAAAAAGAGCATTGTTTACTTGAAAAAGAAAAATTAGAAAAACGTTTTGATGAATTATCTACCCAGTTTGAAACACTTGATAAACAGTATGGCTCTGTAGTAAAAGGTAAGTGCTTATAAGTAATATAACCTATCATATGATGATTAGTTAAAAGAACAATTGCATTAATAACAATCCTAAATTATTTAGAAAAAGAAGAATTAGCTATAACTTTGATTGGAATAAAAAAAGAATCAATCTCTAATCAAGATCCTTTGCAAAAAGAATTGGTAAGTTTTTATCTACTGATGATATTTTTGATTACCTTGACATGGAAACTAAATTGAAAACTAGTATTATGTTAAAAATAATAGTTTTAAAAATTGTAAAATTGTTAACATTTAGTAATTCTAGAAATAATTAAAATATTTAGTATTAATTGATTATTAATTAATTTTATTTTTACATATTTGAAGTTAGAAAAAGAAATAATGGATCTAAAAAATGAATTAATGTTACATAAACGTCAAAAAGAAATGATTGCTCAATTGAAAATTGAATTGAACCAATCTAAAGAAAGAGTATTATCCTTAGAAAAACGATTACAATTAGAATGTGATTCTAAAGTTGCTATTTGTGTAGATGAATTAGAAAATTTAAAAAAACAATATGACGTTAAGGTAATTGAAAAATTTTAGTTACCAATTGTTCATTAATATTTTTTAAATCCAAATTGTATAAAACAGGTTGAAGAATTAAAACAAGCAAAAAATACAATTTCCAAGTTAACCAATACAGATTCGCAGACATCTACAAAAGTGATAGATGAAGAAAAGATTTTAAAGGCAAAATTATCTGACTATGAAAATTCAGTGTCTAATTTAGAAAGGAAGCATAAACTAGCTATAAACGAAATAACATTTAAGTATAAAAAAGAATTACATGAATTAGAGATGCTTTATAATAAAAAAATAAGTATGTATACATTTTTAAAAAAATAAAATAAAAACATGAACATAAAATTGAACAATTTTAAAATCAAGGTGAAGAAAAAGTTATTTGTGCAAAAATGATTGAAGAGCTTAAGAGCAAACATGAGATTGAAATGGAGAAACTGAATTCTGTGGCCAAACAAAACGCAGCACATTATGCTTCTCAAGAGTTAATACAAATTGATGCTGATTATCAGCAGAAATTTGAAAAAGCTAATGAAATTATAACATTAAAAAATAACACTGTAAAAATATATTATATTTGTTTATTTTGTATTTATGTCAATAACTTACATATTTATTAATATATTGTTTTACGGAATAGATCAAAGAACTTGAAATGAAATTAGAAAATGTTCAAATGCAGGTGTCAATGAAAAACAACCAACTACAACAATTGAAAGAAATGCATGCTAGTTCTATAGATGTGGATATATTGAAAAAGCAAATTGAAGAGGAGAGGTCTAAATTTGCCCAAATAATGACTAATTGGGCCCAAGAAGTAAGTTGGTAATCATAATAAATGATATTTTATAGAAATAATAATAACTATAATTTGATAACTTTTTTTTTTTTAATCTGTTATCTAATAATTTATGTATTTTAATTATGAACATATCTTAATTAGGTTTAAAATATATTTTTATTAGATGCGTCAAATGAAGGATAAACTAAGTATAAAGGTGTCAGAGTTAGAAAAGTTGCAGGCTAAGTATACAAAAGTTAAACATGCTGCATTGGGATATAAACATGCCAACCAAAAACAACAAATTGTTTATAATGAACAGTTGGTGAATTGTATTCGTTTCTTAGATCAACTTAATACCAAAACTGATCAACTATTAACATCCAGAGAAAATGAAATTCAATTAGCACTTAAGGAATTTGAAAATGATTGTAAACAGAGACGCCTAGCATTTAATAATGTTAACAAATTATCTAGTTTCAACTCTAATTGAGTTTCTGTTAAAACATGAATTTTTTTTCTGTGTACCTTATTGTGATTTTTTTTTGAATACTATATGTTGAATTTTTTTTAAATTTTATAATTTTTTTTTATCGAAATGATATTTTTTAAAATAAAATCATTTAATTTTTTACTACCACTAGTATACCATTTTTTTTTTTTGTTTTTAATTCAGTTATTCTTGTACATATTGGTAAGTTTCTATTATTTGTATTAGGAAACATTTAAATATGTAAACAATAAACAAATATCAATTTTAAATAAATTTTTTATGTTTCATGGGTTTAAATTATTTAAATTTTTATTAAATTCAATGTCTAAATGACTTGTTCAAAATTTCATACTTATGTCATGAGTAGGGAACAGATTTATATGTAAATACATATTTTTATTAAAACGAGATATTTAAAATTTGATAAGAAATGTTCATGATTTAAATCATTCCTATTAATATGATGCTTCTTTTATTTTACATATTTTTACATATTTTGGTATAATTACATATTTTTACATATTTCACTAATTTGTAAATATTTTTAAACATATTTTATTATTTCATCATTCATACGTCTTCTTCGTACAAAAATACAAGAAATTATTTCAAATTTATATCCAGAACTTCTATCGCTATTAGAAAAGCTCAAAATATTATGCAAAATGAAACATTGAAAACTAATTTAATTTTCATCTCAGTGAATTTTAGTTTTATTGCACATACATTTACAAAATTAGAAACAAAAATATGTCCTTGAATGAAAGTATGCAAATTGTCGAATCAAGGATTGCAAAATGAAAACTCGTAAACGGACCAATAGGAGAAGTAGTAAAAAAGAAAATTCCTATTTTTACCGAAAAAAATTTCAGGCCATATTTATTTTAAATCAATCAATGACATAATGAGTGGCAGACACCCTTCTAAAAATTTGGAATAATCGCCTTCTAATATTATGCCTTTCAAATATGCTTTAATGAACCGACGTAGGTTGATGTGGAACGATCATTTAACCGTTTAAAAATATTTTCAGATCTAATAGGCGACATTTAATATTTGATAATTTAAAATATATTGTAATAATTCAATGCAACAAATCATTTTGATAATTTGATAATTATAATTTTTTTTTTTTAATTAAATTTTTTTCCTTCATATTTGGATGGTTTTAGTACATATTTTATAAATTATACTTACATACATATGTACATATTTATGTATTTTTATTACATATAAATCCGTTCCCTAGTCATGAGAAAACTAAATTTAAGAAACTGATAAAAAAGTAGGAAAATTTAATATTTCAATTAATTATCCAAATTGATGGTTTATTTAATTTTTGTAAGAATATAAGCTTAAATTTCATAGGATACTGTAAAATGTGTATGTGACTCTACATAGCATATTATCAGAGTTCTATGTTGTTATTATTTATCTATCTATACCCTTTGTATTGTGTTCTAAATATATATATATTAACTTCTATGTATTTGTTAGTAATAAGTAGTATTTTGTTACTATAATTAATTGTAAAACTGTATATATCTAATTATTTTCCAAAGTGTTAGTCCTGTAAATATATATAAATAATTTATTAAGATAGCTTTTTATAACTTTGAAAAAAATTGTTTATAATATAGCATTTTAAAATTAATTAATTTAAAATAATAATATATATAGGGATTTAAAATATATTTATTAATATATTATAACTAGCCGAATCAATAGGAGTTGGGTTATCCGGTAAAATAATTGTGATTATTCAACTTCTTTAGGTTGTTAATCATTGTTACTACCTAATAATAGTAATTGACTCGATAGCATTGAGAGAGATGAGCTCATGAGGTACGTATCAATTAGGATTCCGTTTAAAATTGTTTTCAAATTTCAAAAACCTTTACCCTGTGATTATTAACTCAGTGCAATATTGTATTCACAATTGAGTTAGGAGGGGTTGGTTACAGTTTCTTATTCATACCAGTTGGACTAGGTACTTTTTTTCTCCATGTAAACATCACTTACCAATATATTTATATAAGTCAACTGATAATTGGAGTGTATATATTTACATTTTAAATAAAATGTGTTGTGTCATGTATAGCTTATATAATAATTGTAATTAGGCATTATTGAATGTATGTAAAGATGAAGTTGGTATATCCAACACTATTTTCATTCAAAGTACTGTATATTCATAAACTTGTAGTATGAATATATATATATATATATATTATATTATAATGCAAGCATTTGCGTTGTACGAAAATGTTTTCAACATGAAAGAAGTAAATGTTTAGGCAAAGTGGAGTTATAAAAATTTAAATGGGTTCACCACGTGTTCTTATAATGGATGCAGTGGTATGAGAATTTTTTTTTTTTGTTTGAATCGATGTATGAGCGGATGCTGTTTTCACATTATTACTGCTAACTGAAGTAGTGAGGTAATGTAGGTATGAGAATAGCTATTGTAATCTACTATTCCATTTTGAAAATCTAACGTTGTACTAATTTTACTCGAGTAGAAATATCTTTTTACATAGGATATCATTTATATATTTAAAAAAGTGAAATATAATTGTGTATTCGATTATTATTTATTTTAAAATAAAGCCATTTTTCCAATTATTCTAATAATCCCATACATGGGCGTAACTTGGAAATTGATTAGGGGGTGGAGAGTAAATCTATTGTTACATATCAACTAGTCTATATAGTTAACCTTACATTATTTACTTGTAAATATACGTTAACAATACCTTTTGATTTATATAAGTATAAGGTGATCAATATAATAATTAAATAATAATCAATATAATAATGAAATAAATCAAACATAAATAAATAAACTGAAATACATTAAAAACATAAACATTTTTAATATTTTATAACTTCTAAAAAAAAAAAAACGCCGCTATATTATAGTATAAAATAATTCATTACCTATTCATTAGGTATCTAACATTATGTTAGATAAGCTAAAACTGAAAATAATATTTAAAAATAAAACTATAGTAATAGTTATAACCAGCTCTTTTGTACTTATTTTAAAACAAGGTATGTTATATATCAGAGGGAGCACTGTTTCTCCTAATTTATTTTAGAGGAGCAATGGGCCCCCTTGCCCCCCAGTCTACGCCTATGATTACACATCATTAAATTGTTGTCGGTGAAATAAACTAAACGTCGAACTTGCAAGTTTATTTATAATATGAATGGTGGACTAGTGCCGGCCGTAGAGGAGGGCAAGCCGTGCGATCGCACCGGGCCCCGCGCTTGTTTGGGGCCCCACAAATTGTGTGCTACGAATATCACTTTATCTATAAGTAAAAATAATAAAGTCTTAGTACGCAAATCACAGCCCGTGTGGTCTTGTAATTTTCTCAGGAAACGGGTTATTATCGACGAAAATTAAGACGGTAGATACCAATTACGCATAGCTTTGAAGTATTGCACGCACATGTACTTGTAAAATTGTACATCGTCGACGACGGTACAAAATATTATTTAGTTATATAATAACATGAACGTAGATTTTTATAAACAATTGATAAATCAGTAAATTTATATATATATATATATATATATATATATATATATATATATATATATATATATATATGGGGACCTGCAAAATTCTGCACCATGCCTCGAAAACCGTCGAACCGGCACTTTGGTGGATAGTGTGAATATGTGGTTAGAATCCCGAGATAATTTACTTACCAGACGATCGCGCAACGATTTTGATCACATGAAAAAATCAATTTAAAAATAAATATTTTTAGTATACATGGAAATGATTAAGAACACAATCAAGGATATTATAATATATAATTTGTATTCAAATACAACTGTGTAAGCATAATAATTGTTATTTTTTTTAAACCCTGCGATATACAATATCGAACAAACAAAGTTAAAATACATTAACGTCGTTTAACCTTGTCAAAATACTACGGATTAAATGGTAAACTTGACTATAAACTAAACACTAGTATAATAGTGACAATTATATCGAAATCGTAATTCACAATATTTTAATAATAATAATGTCTTTATTAAATGTAAGACGTGTAAATTAGGTATAAGGTACAATAATATCATTATTTTTAAGATAGAGAGAGAGAGAGAGAGAAAGAGAGAGAGTGATACAAAGAAAAACAAATTCTAGGAGTTACAGTGACTATAATTATTAAGCTACTGGATTAATGTGAATATCCTTATAACTAATAAGTCTAACTAAAACAACTATACAATCAATATAATCTAAAAATGGTTAATAGGTGGTTAACAATAATAATAATAATGATAATAAATCATGTTTTTGTGACAAAATAATTGGGTTTTCAATAACAATTCATACCGTGTTGTTCGTCGGTATAATGATCGGTGACTTTTAATATTATATTTTCCATTTTCCAAAACTGCAGTGTATGAATGACGTGTTAGCCGCAGATCAGATTAAAAAATATAATTATTACAGATATAAAATCACTCGATTTGTCTAATATGATATGGTCATGTGCGGAATTAAGGATATGCTGGTATACGCGATATGCTATGTATAATCGTCATAATGTAATTAGGTTATGATTGGGATATGTTAGATTCTCGAGTATTATTATTATTTATTTTTTTGCCGAAATCAAGATTAATAATAAAACTAATAATAATAATAAAGTGTATATATAAATTTTTTTGTTATGGATATTGTTGTTTTTTTTATTAAATTAATGAGATCAAACAAAACAAATATGTATACATCTATTTATACACATATAAAAAAAAATTCTTACCCTTTTTGTGTTTCACAAAAATTATTATTATTATTTTTTTTAGCACGCGCTTAAATTACTTTAAATAGCTATATAAATGTTTACAAATATAAAACACTTATAATATGTTGTACGTTAACATTAAAAAAAAAATATATTTAAATAAAAAAAAACATGCACTTGCGTATATAGCGGTCATTGATTCCAATAATTGTGTTGCTACACCACAGAATCGTATTTGCCATACTTTTCGGCATTATAATGAGTACTGAATAAAACATGTTTACTTTTCAAATCTCCTAAGTGGCTACCATTAATGATACCAAAAAAGAAAAAACAATTAAATGTAATATCTAAAATAAAAATTAATTTGATTGTCTCTAATATTTATGATATTAAACAGTATTATTATTATTAAAATACTACATTTTAAAATTTAGATAAAATTATTTTATTTATTTATTTTTATTTGAAATTTCATGCTACCCTCTACCATTTAGTCCAAATTATCAAACTCTATTAAAATATAATATATGTGCTGCATTCGGTAACCGAATTGTAGAGCTCGATACTAAAGTTTAATAATTTATGCGTCCCTGACTAATTATTATATCACAAACTTTATTATTTTTAATTTTAGTTTATGGAAAAATAAAAATAAAAATTATTAAACTATATAAGAATACGTTAAAAAAATATTCTTAGTTACGTTTTAAACATTATAAACAAAAAATAATTACAATAAAAATTATAAACAAATAAAAATATATTGAAGATAAAAAATTGTGCACGCCAAGAACAATATAATATTGACGATAAGTTTGTATTTATTTTCAAATCACTAACCTTTTATTTGCCACCGGTGGCATACCCTTTCGCCTTTGACACAGTGTTGATTCACCTAGTATTGGTATGACTTTGGTGTCTAAACTTTTTTTTATAAAATAATATATCAAAGAGAAAATGTTTATAGTTATATATAAGGTTATGTTAACGAGTAGAGTGCGTCTAAAGGATATTTAAATAGCGTTTAATGTTTCTAAACAAAATTGATTCATCGGAAGTAAATCATTATACCTATAAATATATATTAAGCACTAATGCATATTAGGCTGTCAATTTATCATTTTCATAAAATATATTTGTTATTGCTACGTTTTATTATTCATAATTTTCGTATTTGGCACATTTTTCACATATCAACCTGCGATGGTGATTTTATATTTTTAAGATATTTTTGGCACTTATAAATTTTCATTGCCAATCATTCCAATCTAAAAACTAGGTAAGCTAAGAATAAAATTTATACTTTATCGCGCGTTGACTATACATTATACATAGCAGCCAATAACTACGAATTTTATCCACGTTATATGGGGTTATGAAGATCGGAAATAAATATTCAAATGTATAATAATTATATAGGATATACTATACAGGGTGGAACGGTAGAACTAATTAATGGTTAAATGGTATCCAAACATCAAGTAATAGATTGGTTATATATTATTTGGCTCGGTGAATCGGGTGTACGATATTTTTCAACACCCAGTTAGACCGAATGAGGTTTTTATGTGTTTATACAATGTAACATCTATTCAGACGGACTAGGCAATCGTCCGTAAAATTTCATTAGTTCTAATATCTATAATCCGACACACCCTGTTTACGATTAACTAAAGAATTTAATTGTTTTATACACATTAATTAATCTATAAAATGTATTGCTTTTATCTGGTAATATTATTTTATATGTTTATAGAGAAATGAAGTTTGACAACAACACAAAAAGACCAATTCTATTGATATAAAAAATAAAAAATAAATAAATATTAATTCCTATTTTGTATACATTATCTAATAATTATTTGTGTGAAATGATTTGGTACGCATCCAAAACATCAGTAACAATATGTGTAAAAAAAACATCTTAAGCATTTACCAATAGTACACTAAATAAATAATACAATATAAATAAAAACAGTGCTAACGCACATATTTAACTTCACTAACAATTATAATAAATTAATATTAAAAACATTAACACTAATATTGTGATTTGAATAAAACATAAACATAAAATTATACGTATTATTTAGTTAAATAATTATAATAATAATAATAATAATAAAAAAAAAGATTTGTTAAGTTAATTAATTAATTAATTAAACAGGAAAATATTTTTTTTCTATCTCTGTTGGATAATATACAATACCTTATTATTTTATGATGTTCATAATCATTTTTATTTTCAAATGCCCAAGTACAAATGAATCTGAAACAAATACAATTTTATTTTTTAATTTGTAATATCAATATAACTTTTAATTGGTAATTAATTATGACATAACAAAGAATTAGTAATCGTGTTTGGACGAATTAAAAAAAAAAGTCATAATTCAAGTAGAAATTTTTCAAATTGATCATAATCTATAGGGAAATGATTGATTTTTGAAAATTGATAGTGTGTAACTTACTTATTTTTTAATAATTATTTCAGAGTTATACATTTTTATACTAGGATATTGCAGTATATTAGTAAATCAACTTTTAAAAATTATTGACGATATATTGTATTAGAATTTAATAATTTATAATTATATTATTTCATAAATTATTTATGTAAATAATTTTTAAAATTAACATACATGCCCTTAAATTGCTTTTATATAGTACCGTCATATTACACTTTATTGGAAAACGAAAATAAAGTGTAATATGACGGCACTATGTATATGCAATTTAAGGGCATGTATGTTAATTTTAAAAAAATTTTTTACTTTATTTTTTATTTTTTACTTATTTAATATTAAATAAGTAATTTATGAAATAATATAATTATCAATTAAAAATTAATTAAAATTAATATAATAATACATTTAAAATATTTTAATCTTTATATAAATATTATGAAAATAAATTTTCTATATGTAATTTGAACACTGTTTTACATTTTTTGAAATTTAAATTTAAAATAAATTTAATTATTTTATCAACATTTTCGAAAAAATATTAAGATAACACATTATTACTTATCTTTAAGTAAAAAAAATAAATAAAAATATTTTGAAAATTATCTCATTTGTATTGAATGGTTATATAAGTTATTAGTAAAATTTTCAAGTTTTTTTTTCGAAAACCAGTATGCCATGAATTTTTTCGATTTGTTTTATAAATTTTCATCAATTTTTCGTATTTATTTAGAAACTGTTAAGATATTGGTAAAACAACAGCCAATAATGTAGCAACTAGACAATATTTTCTATAAGAAATCTTACTTTCATCCTCTCGGATGAAATCATGTACAGAGAAACACACACGAAAATAGTAATTGTATTTCATAAAAACTAATAAAACACGGATGCGATAATATTGGTGTTTTCAACTGTGCAAATCGAAACACATTATACACTTCATAGGCTAATGCCTATTGCTGTGTCCTGTAGTTCGCAGAAAATTGTTGGGAACTAATTGTGGAGATAATTGAATGAAGATCACATTTTGTTTTAGAAAATACTTAATGGCCTTTACATGTTATCGATTCATTCAAATTTAAATATTACTACCAATAAATTTATTGATGAATTGGCAAATAAAAGAAAAAAGCCACAGTTTATCATATAGTTTATAATTAATGAAATTCAATTTTTTAATAAGAATATAGTAAAACAGATAAAAATTTAATTTTGAAAATTTAAATTTAAAATTGTTTTCTTTATTCGAATTTATAAAATTAACAAATTTCAAACTGATCAAAGTTTAAAGAATCCAGGTCTGAAAATTCTTTGGAGAGGGGGGTTGGAAACCCCCAACAACCCCCACCCCCTCCCATAAATGCTCCACTACTTACTTATATTTATAAAAAAAATAAAACGTGTTTTAATTCATTGCTAAATAAACCTATGTATGTATATTAAATATATAAAAATCTCTTTTCCAATCTATATACTTAAATTATAAATAGTTACCTCAATTGTACATCGATTTAGTGGATTGGAGATTTGACAATATGATTAGGCGATACGTAGTGGTATCCGGGCAGAGCTAGTCCAGCAGTTTCCATTGATATCCTGGTAACAAATATAAATACGTTAAATAAAAAATGTATTCATATGATTAGTGATAAAAAATATGTTGAATATTATTGAAAAATATATATTTATTTATAATGTCGAACTTACTGACCTTGATTTATGTTCAAGTACAAATAGTTCGTATTGATTTCAAAATAAAATAATTTGTTTGCTGACCATGCATGCTAAAGAGAATAATCAACATAACAAAAAAATAAAACTGAACTCCATAAGAATCATAGTATTATGTAATAATTACATGCACATATTCTTAGAGGTATTTAAATAGCGTTTTGTTTCATGCATATTGAACGAATATCAAATAGAGTCTAGATAATCAATAACAAATAACAAACAACGGAAATAAATAAATACATCCAAATTTATATATTATCACAAATAATAAATTCTAAAATAAATATTACATTGACAAAAATAATTCTTGCTACCATGTATTATATTGCTTAGAAAAGTATTAAATTATAAATATTGTATAACATAGTACATATTTTATAAGAAGTTGATTTTGAAACAAATAAATAGGCTTTTAACAGTCTTAATATTACAAATATACACATGATGATTATTAACATTAAGTGAGCATTTAATGAGAGTACATAAGTAATGTAATATAAAACAAATGATAAAAAAAATATACAATAATAAATTTGAATAATTAAAATTTTGGTCCTTAAAATTTGTATAAAAATTAATACGGTTTAATAAACGATCAAATTAATCGTATAAGGCACATATAATTTTGAATATAATAACAAATTAAATGAATAGCTATTCGCGATCAATAGAGAACAACAAGAAATTGTTACTATCATTAACTAAAATCGAAATATGACTAGTAAATATATTATACCCTACCATAATTATATTCTATAGTTTAGAGTTATAAAATCTTCGTAACATTTTTTTAACTTAGACTTTTAATTTAATGTACCTAATGAAATCACAATGTCATAAACAGAAATTATCCATTTTATTATAATATAATGTTTTGTTAATTACCATCCACAAAAGTACTCGCAAAATAACTTATACATATCTACGTTTTCGAATGAATAAGTATCTTTATCCATCCACGTCCTATTGTACGATTGTATTCTTACCGTCGTAGTCTTCCAAGTCTGAAATTTAGTTCTTACGTAACACATAGGGGAAGAAAATATTACTCGTACGAAATTATGGGATAATCTATGACTCGATAAATATAGTTTTAACTGAATGATTCGATGAATAAATGAACGATGACATTAATGTGACGGAAACATTTGAAGTCGTGGTCGTAAATAATGTTATTTAAGTGGAATCTTAAGTTGAATATTTCAAATATAATTCATCGCGGCGGTACTGGTCGGGCGCGATTTCGTATAAGAAATGCATGTAATTACTTGAGCGCAGTCTGGAACCATATTTGGTCACCACGTTGCAAATACCTATCAGCGGAGACCATCAATCCCATTTCTATTCTGTTCATTTGCGGCCAAGTGAATTAGAAATTTGACGAAATGTTATCATAAAACGCGACCGAGACGAACGCGTTTCCCGGAATTTTCGGTATGACCATCGTCGACATACGTCGTATACGCATTCTGTTTCGTCGATACGGAGACTCGTCTTGTGGTTTTGAGATGAAGGGGATGTTTTGTGAGTGGTGGTTATAGTTTTCAGAAGACGGCGGGGAGCGTTTGAAATCGATCTTGGGACTGGGCAGCAATATATATTTATTTATTTATTTTTTCAGTAAGGCATGAACTTGACGCGGTCCGGTTTGTGTTTGGCGACGGCCGGCTGTGGCGACAACAGGGCCGCCGCGGAACTGTGGAAATGGTGCTGGATGGGTATGTCGGCTGCGGTCACGTACTGGTGGTGGGACGGCTGCAGTGAGTGGGTGGCGGCCGGTGGATTTGTGGTCTGGGTGTTTGTGGCTGTGGATGTGGTGGTGGTGTTGGTGGTAAGCACGTGTACGGGGAACGGGTACTGGTGTGGCGGCAACACTAGCTGTTGCTGCTGCTGGTGGTGTTGGTGATGGTGTTGGATTTCCGATTGCAGCATCGTTGCTCGCTGTATGTCCAAGCTGATATATCGTTGTCGAAGGTGTGGTGGGGAGTGGTGATAAAAAAAAAAAAAAAACAACAACGTAAGGATAAAGAAATAAAATAATATTTTTTACGTTTTATCTGAGCGGAAACAATAATATTTCTATTTTTGTACAATAATCGTGTAATTATATAAATACACATATATCAATATATGTGAAAACATATAACACATAGGTATATCCGTTGATGGTGAAAAAATAAAATAAAATACAGAACGGTATAAGAATGTGGACGAATATCGTCAACGTCCAAACCTTGTGGTGTGGTAAAGCAATCACAATTGTTTACGCTCTATTGATTATAACAATGGTTTTTAAGATTTATCTTTAAACATGGTACGCTGTGCTTTTCACAAAATTTCCTCGGCAATTTTCTCAACCACGAAAAACTTTTCAATACATTTTATTTTTTTAGGTTTCTGAACTGTATTGATATAAAATATACTCTACACAGTATTGTTTACCGTTAACTGCAGATAGTTAAATGCAAAATATAATGGTTTAAAACTCAAACGAGTAATATGCAACATCGCAAAGATCTAGGACGAGTTCAAAATTATTTCTGAAGCTGTAACGGTGTGCATGGCATACATTTTACGTGCCCATTAGTTGGTACATTTTATAATATTTCAATCAGTTATATCTAAATGGTGTAAACTTTTTCCAATTTTATTGAATCAATTTTTTTTTTTTTTTTATTACTTTATTGACTTTTAATAAACACTAACGGTTGCAATAGTGTAATGTATAAACTAGAATATACGCGTTTTATCGATGGTTAAAAATTATATAAATAAGATTAAAAAATACTATAGCTAATATATATTTGTATGTAAATGTTGAAGGGTCTTAACATGACAAATCGTTATTTATTTTCATGTTTTTTTTGTTTTTAAGTTCAAATATTGTATTAAATATAAAAATTAATTTTCAAATATTTTGCATTTATTTAGACTTTAAAGACATTGTGTTCAATGTATTTGCCTAAAAAATTAAAATGTTTGGACAAATTAATCTGAAGAATACATCCATGGCTTAACCCGTCAAATTTATGACTGATTGGCCATTGGATTTTAACTGTGCAATACTATATGATAGTGCACAACGAATAAATATTAATTATTTAAATTTATTATCAATTGATTCGACGCATACCGTTCGGTTTAACTATCTCAAGTCGTTTCGCATGGAATTCCTATTAGGAATATACTTCCAAATATCTTCTAAGTACATACATGTACTATATTAATATGACAGAAATACAAATTTGAAACCAATTCTAATATTTGCCTGATTGATATTCGCGTTAACTCCTAAACATTATTTTTATTTTATTCATTTTAATATATATTTTTCGATACAATTAAATAAAAATTAATAAAAATTAAATAAATTTAATAAATTAAATAAAAATTAAATAAAAAAAACATGTAAAATTCAGTGAAAATATGTAATTATAAATTATGGTATATAACCGATTAAAATTGTATTATTTATAAAATGTGATAAGTTAAGATAAAACTTCCGAATCATACTTTTTATACATGTTTTGAGAAAATATGATAAAGATAGAATGAATATTAAATATATAAGTATAACAATTAAAACTGTGGATGAATACATTTTAAGTTACTAAAAAAACATAAAGAAAAATAAAGAAAATGAAAATATTAACATATATTACAAATTAACACTTTTAAATTAAAAATAAAAGTGTTTTATCTTCAGGTATTAAATTGAGAATTTACTTTTTAAATATTATCTTTTAGTTAAATAATTTGAAATGTAGACTATTATGAAACTATAAACATTAAGTCTGACTATGAATGAATGTTGAATTAATTTGGTTTTTACTCTTTTTTTTTTAAATTAGTATAAATTACTTTGCCTTATTGATATACCGCATAGGAGAATTTCTTTAAAAATAAAATAAATTTCATAATTTTTAAAAATTTTAATTTAAAAAATATATAATTTAAGTAATTAATTTGGATCAATGATGCTTTCAATTTTTCGAAATCCATTTATCTAATTAAAAAAATTATTTTAATATGAAATTTTAGGTACCAAACAAAACAAGAAATTTATTGATCATACAATTACATTTTTCTGTTAAAACTTATTTAAGTAGTAGATATCGATCGTGTAAATTGCAAAAAATAAATTTTTAAATAAAAAATTTGACATACATGGTATTTTAAATGTGTCATATTTGGTTTTCTTCACGTAAAATAAGACTAAAATTAAAATTTGAAATAATATTGTATTGTGTCTAATTAGCATTGGTTTATATTTTTTTAACAAAATAAATAATATTGACCTCATATCATTCTACATACAGTTAAAATTTCAAAATATTTGATATTTTTTTCCTCATAAATGTTTTAAAACTTATTTTAAAGCTTTATATTATATAAAGTTAATATTTATACAAATTCTATAACACATTATAATAAATTATAAAAGTAAATCAATGTGTTTAAATGCGTTGTATCCAATTAATAAAGATATTAGAATAGTTACTCTATTCATGGACAATAAGTTATTGCATATAAGAATTATTAATTTATTTTGATAGTGATTTTCTTATGTTTATTTTATTCATTATATTTGGAAAGTAAATTTTGGATTCATTAAATGTATGTACACGAATTGAATCAATTGCTATTATACATCTAATTTATATATTCACCGCATAACGAAGTTACGCTACGTTGGTATTTAATCACAGCGACGATGCCTCAAACGCATTAATGGCTTACATGATTCAATTAACAAGCTGCATACAATTTCGACTGCAAATAGCCACGCTGTAACAGTGCAGCCAATTCTAATTGAACGCCTACCAGCTTTAAAGCCAGGATCTGTGTTCCACGGCTTTATATTCTGGGTCAGCTGAAAACCGCTAGCATTTAACAATATTATAATTCTTGATAGCTTTCAAGTGCACGCTACTGTTGGTTATTGCAAGCCCCTAATGTCCACTTTGACCCAGAATCACTACCAAAAAAAAAAAATAAAAAGCCGAACGAGAACGCAAAAGCGAAAGTGTGCCCTTGCCAAAAGGTATGGCAAACGAGTAGAAGTTGTGATCATGCTGTTATCTAAATACTACTAACCTCATATTGATCAAGTACTGAGCTAATGCCACTGAGTCGGGATTTCCGGTTATCGTTATAGTCCTATCCGTACTCGCACTACCCTCGCGGTCTTCGCAGTTTGAGATTCGTATCATCGCACCACTGATTTGTCTGGAATCACAATCAACCATAAATTACCATGAGAACCTAGTGACCTACAACAGCGATAATGTACCTGATTTCTGCAATTTTAGTTCCACCTTTGCCAATGATGCAGCCAATCAAGTCATTCGGTACAGTCATTTCATGAGTTTGTTGACCACCTCCGGATCTGTTATTGATATTGGCTCCAGAACCATTAGACCTCAATTGGCTACCAGCTAATGCTGCCAATGCTTTAAAACCATATTTTATGTTAGTTAAAACGTTCCTTAATGTTCTTCAAACAATTTATTGACTTACCAGCGGGATTAAATGAATTTGCAGGTCCTCCCAAACTTCCGAGTCCAAGTGCAGCAAGTCCAGCCAACGGATTTCCAGCCAATTTTCCCAACTAAAACAGATCATTTCATATAATAAAAATATTTTAATGTATCATAAACAAATTTGAAGTAAAGTGATATACTTGTGAAGGTCCAAATGCGTTTTTCAGAAGAGGATAGTCCAATGGATCAATCAAGCCTAGACTTGCTGCTGCACCAGGAGTTGGTGGAACCATAAGCATTGGTGCATTATATGGTCCTCCACCTACCATCATGGTACCCACATCACACCCAGCTGCAGATCCTGCACTCGCCAGAGTAAATGCTTGTCCGCCAGCCAAAATAACTGGTGCTCCCATTTGAGGTTTAGCACGATATGGAATTGTAACACCTTTCGGCGGAGACTGAAAAAATTAATGACAATTTAAAACTTTAAATATTGACAAGTATACAAATAAATACCATTTAAAATTTTACACTTATTTTTTCTTTTAAGGTCTATAAATTGTTATTGTTTATACTTTAATATTGTTTAATCAAATAGAAAATATAATTGTATAAATTCAAAACATTATATAAGATACAAAATTTCAAAACTCAATAAAAATTTATTTAAACTTAGAGGATATAGTTTAATATATAGTTTTAACAAATAAAGTATTTTCTATCATAATCAAATTTAACATTGTTATTTTTGTAACGATTACTTTATAAATAAAGTTCAAAATTTCAGCTCAGAATACACAACAAAAATTAATATTAATTCCAAAAAAGGAAAAAATGTAGTATGGATATATTTTGATTCACTTACTTCGACCATAACTGCGCAAATATGAAATATGCACTGTGTTATAGAATCTCTTGTACCAGTTAATGTAACTGCTCTTTCTGTAGACTGAGGAAGTACATCTGAGGCCACCTGTATTTGTGCACCAGTGGCTTCTCTTATTTCTTTTATTTTATTACCCCCCTTGCCAATCAAAGATCCACACTGTGATGCTGGGACAATTAACCGTAGTGTCATACCACACTTTCCTATTGCTGTTGCACCAGTTTTACCATTTTGCATTTCAATAAACTATAAACAAATATTTATATAAAACATATAAAAATACAAATAAAGCATGTATATATGAATACACAATAAATGAAATATTAATATTATAAATAAAATATTTATGTACCTACAAGTACAATTGTATTGTAATAATTATTAATTTCGATTTGTATAAAACACAGGTAATAAAAATAGAAGATTGAACACAAAATTTCTGATATTAAAGGTACTGCAATAAATGGCTGAACAAGTATCAATATACGAAATAATGATCACGTACAAAAAAAAAAAAAAAATAATAATAAAACCAGTATTAAATGTTTTAATATGAATCTAAAACTTTGATTTGGGTTGAGTATTCGATACATATAACTGTTTCATTTGAAAATAAAATTTGCGCCACTCCTGGTTTGGGATATACTGACAAACCATTAAAAAATTTAAAAAAATAGTATTTCAAATGTATTAAGAAGAGATTATCTGTTTATAAAGTTAATTTATACTGAATATTATAAAAAGTAATACATTCAATTTACAATGATAAATGATTCGTTAAATAAATGTTGACAACAAATGTGTCTGTTTAGAAAATGAAATTCATTATTTTAATAGTTCGAAAAAATAATGCCAATGACCAAACGATAAATCGATGAATGAAATAGTAATTTTAAAATTATTTTAAATTGATTACGGTGTTAAGTCATCCTATAGGAGTATACTGTACTTCAATTTTAATCACTTTTCATTATAATTCCAAACTCGGGATTATCGTTCGTATTGATTTTTCGTAATGGTTTGAAAAACATTAGTATAAAAATACTTTTCGTAGAACGCAGGTGTGTTAAATTTATCATAAAATCCATTGAACTTTCTCATCATTTCAACTATCTCGAATCATTAATTTAGTACGTAAGGAAGCGTTAAATACGTGGAAAAAGCTTACCTCTTCAACTTTTGTGCATATTAAAGAAAACGCTTTGTAGATGGCTTCGGTAGATCCTGATATTGTCACTATCCTTTCAGGACAAGAACCGTCAGATATATTGATTTTGGCACCAGACTTTAAGAAAAAAAATACTTAATTATTAAAACTGTGATAATCGAGTTTTATTTAGTGTATTTAAATGTAATAGTTATCATGACCGAAAATATGTCTTATACCAACATTTTTAAAAAAATGTGTATTATTAAAGCTTACTATAGTTTTGAAATATAATGAAATTTTTTGATTAAATTTAGAATATTATAAACTTTATTTCTACTGTATTTTTTAAGAATAACACCGTTTTTATAGAACATATTTTACTTTATAATTATTAAACAGGACAAAATTTCTATTTACTAACAACAAATTATTAATTTTTGTGACCTTATCAAGTTTTTTTAAACTTCATTGTTTTACAAATATATAAAAAAAATTGTATGTGCCATAGAGATATTTAGTGTTTTATATTGATACCATTAATGAATTGATAGACTGATGATAAAAATATATTCTCTCCAATTTTTTTTTGAAATCAATACTATCTAAATATATTTTAAATATTTTATATTTAATATAATTATTATTACTGTCTTTTCACGCTGAAATTATTACTTAAATATGTTCATCAACGTCTATGAACTTATTATATTTAATCTAAATTAAAATAAATTTTAAGACAACATTTTACAATATCATTATTTCTCAGTTATTATAAAAATTATTAAAATTAAATTAATATCGTTTAAACTAATAAATAAAGTGTTATTTTATTTATTACATAATATTTCTAAGTAAAATTTATACAATATATATTTCATTATAATAATATGTAATTATATGCGTAGGCATATTATGTAATTAAAATTAATCAAGCATTAAATGATTAATTTTAAAAAAAATAATGTTTATACATTATTGTTAATATACTTTATTTATTATTTAGAAAAATATCTTCAATTTTCTAATTATTATTACATTTTTGCATTTATCATATTCTAAAAAATTTCAGTTCCATGTTAAATAGGATATGCGTAAATAAATGTATATTTTCTCACCAGACTAAAACCGCTAAGAATATTTATATTAGAACGAATAATAAAATATTTCTCAGATATATTTCTAGATTCAACCCTGCTACCAATTTTTGAATCATACCATGATTTATAACCTTCCGAGATTATTCGTATTAATCTTATACTCAATAAATAATTGCCAATTAAGATTTACGTACCTCTTCTCTGAACCGCTTGACAATCTCTCCTTTTTTACCTATTATACTACCAACTTCCTGCAAAAAAAAAAAATTATTTAATTAAAATCATATGACTGAATTTATATTTAATGAATATAATGTCTAACGTAGTTTATATGCATATATTTAAATAGTTTAAGGTAACATAATTTCACAACATAGTTTATTAACAAAATATACATTTACATTATATTATAATGGGTGTTGGCATTTGAATCAAACTGGAGAATGATTCCAACGATCAATATACATACGTCGTACACAACGATACAAAATTAATTACGAGATTATTATTCAATCAATTGTTTAGTTAGAAACTACCAAATTGTAATTCAATACAATTCATATATGTTTCTAAATGGTTTCCATGTCACGTATAATTTCTTGTTAATAAGTTTGTTTTATTTTTAAAGATACTTAATACAATTATACATATTAACTACATTGCAATGTAATAACTTTTTATTTATAGTTATAGCTCATAATTTAAGATATGTTTATTTAATATTAATTTTGTATTCAACGAAAAAATACAATAGGAAAACCATAAATTATGAAAATCACAAAAAAAAAAAAAAAACCTATTTCCAATATCGAAGGCACACTTACATTTTTAATAAACAAATATCAAAATTGAAAAAATTAACAGGAAAAATTTATAATAAATTACTGCCAACAATATAGAATCATGTACAATACGTTGTTCATTATTTAGATATTGTAAAATATAATTTAATTAATAATATGTTAAAGTTAATGATATTTATAATTTGTACTTTAAAATGATATAAGAATTTTTGATATCCTTACCAAGTGTGAAATGTTATTTATTTTATTGGTATTTTGTACTTGTTAAAAATTCTACATTCTACTACATTCCTTTTGATATTAAAAAAAAAAAAAAAAATCAACATCATGGATTAAAAATAATATTTAATAAACTTATAGATGTATGTATCGTACATGTACACTATTAATGAATTCCATAAAAAAATTAATGAGTTTAGTTATTTAGAATTAAATTATTTACTTATTGTTTTTTAAATTATTATTTAAAATTATTTAGTTAATAAGTTATTAAATTTCAAGTAAATAATTCAAAATATTCGATCACGTGTAAGCAGATCAAAAGAATACTATTATTAACTATCGTATTATGTACTCGTAATATTCAAAAAAAATAAATCGTTAATGTGAATAGTCTAAGAGATGACGTAAAGATATAAAAATATTAAAAATGTAATTTCATGGGATAGAAAAATAAAATGATGTATATATAGTTTATTTTATGTAAAGTGGTTTAGATATTATACTGACAAGATGTGTCTTGGGTAAAACACAATTTGTTACGCAGCAACCCAAATGCTGTCCTGGGAGTATTCAATAAAATTGAACCAGATTTACCATTTACAATTTCCACAGTATTTTTGCTTCACTTTTAGAAATATTATGGAAGGGCACTTGAGGGAATATTATTCATATTCACTAAAAATGGATTTGCAATTGCTCTATTGCCTATAATCAGAACTGTTTTGAAATAACGTGAAAATAAAAAATAATCAAAATAATGTATAGATAAGAAAAAACAACTTTTGTCTTACAAAAACAAAAAACATAATTTTTTCATACAAATATCAAAATAATTGCTATATTATATTTGAATTTAGACAAATGTCAACATTTTACTATAGATAAGTAAAAATTTGGCCTATTTATATACATTGTTTACCTTAAAAAATTTTATACTTTAATGAAATATCGAAAGACCAGGTTTTCGGCTGTAAATTTGGTACAAATTTGGTTATCTTTTCAATTTAATTAAGAAAACAATTAAATATTTTTTTCCAACGTTGCTGAAATAAATGATTGCGTTTAGTACATTTCAAACTCAACTTCAGACGAACTTTGATGTTATTTTTATAATTGTTTTATATTTTTTATTTTAAAATATTCAATAATATAAAAATTATGAATGATGAAGTGATATTATTCGTATATGTAATAGTAAGCACTTCAACACAAAAGTTATGTTTTCCATTCAAATGTATATAAGGTCTTTCGCAGTCACCAAATTATTGTAGGTGAAATATAATGTTTAAATTAATATAATATATAGCAAAGTATATATGGTTTCACTTACGAGAATATTCTAAAGTAATGATAACGATGCTAAATGGATTATTCACTACGTTTTTTAAGGTTTCACGCGTTAACAAGGGAGCAGCAAAATTAAATTATTAGTTTATTTACTGTACACATACTTTTGGATAATTATATTTACATTGTGATTTCAAAATATTGAAAATATTTGAAAATCAAATTAATGTATTTACCTTTCCTTGCATAATTAGCCGAAGTGTTAGGCTGATGTTTGAATCTTCTTTTGATTTGGCGTCCATTTTGGTCCTTTTGTTTAAATCCCTGTAATCCTTGATTATTCGAGTTACTGGAACAAAAAAAAAAAAAAAACGTTATATTAAAATCTATAATTATATATTAATGAATTATAATTTATGAACAACAAATTACCGATTGTATTTATAATTATTTAAATTAAGTGTCATTAAAGCCAATTCTTTCTTTCTTTTTAATATAATTCGAGTTAATAAATATATGAAAATCTACGATAGCTAATAACATATCCTCATTAAAAATATAACTAAAACTTTAACTTTATTACTACTGCAAACTTAAAAGTTTATGTTTTATTTATAAATTGGTATCAACGTGTTGTATTAATTAAATTAATATTATTATTTTATAAAGTACGTTTAATGAGTAAGCCTAGAATGTAATTTTTAATTCGAACAATGATGTTTAAGTCGATATTTAAGAGTGTAATCCATTTAAATATTTTTTTTGGTACAAGTTATTAATATTATAACAAGTTTAAATTATTTAAAAAACATATTTTTTTTTTTAACATAATAAAAGTATAAGTTATTCCAGTATAAGTTTAATACCTAGTTAATAATACAAGCTATAAACTATTTTTTCGTGTATATCAATATTATTTATGACTAATTTTTTATTTAAATTAAAACCAAATAAACTATATACCACTGAGTAATTTATAAAAACGATCTTGCAATTATACACACTTCCCTAACCTTTAGCTCAAAGTACTCATGTAAATTGAGAAAATATATCATTAATGGTTTATAATAACCGATTTCAATAAAGATTTGATTGCATAAATAATTATTTTTACATATTTTATTTACGAAAAAAATAAACTGGCTTATGAAATAATACACCAATATATTTTTTTCATTCCTTTATATAGTATATTTATTAATTAGACAAAACTAATAATTACGATCAACATCTACTGATTCTATTACAAATTATATATTTACATTTAAACAGGTTTTGTTATATATAAACATCATCTGTAAGATTGAATGTTTAATATATCATTAATACACTATTTGTATGAACACTATCCTTGATGTAGTTAATACGAAAATAATACAAAATCGTATAATTTTCACATCGTCTCTGAGAAATGAATATTGATAAAAAATAAATACACATACTTATGTAAATACTTAGAAACATACATTAAGACTAGAAGTTGTAGTATTAATATAGATGGACAAATTTTTATTCATTGAATACATTCTAAGATCACAAGATTGTACACAGTACATTTTATAATTTTATCCACTTTTATATTAGTATGCTACCTTATTTAAATTACATAAAGCAATATCCAATAATTTCTATTAATCACAATCCATTAATAACATTAATTTTGTATGTTATATAAACGGAAAATCAAAAACAACGAGATGGAATTGGTTTCAATAATTATAGTTATCATTGAGTTTGATTTCCGAAGAAAATGGTATATTATAAATTAAACAATTTCTCCCAGATAACCTTATTTGTTGATAGAAGACAATAGATGATTTTCCATATAATATATTTTTATTTATAAATAGTTTATAACTGAAATATTAGTGAAAGTCGCATCAGAAATAAAAACTTATTACTTTTAGGTATATCAAAACTAAAGTCTTCTAGAGTCCAATAGTGACTTATTTGAATTTTTTATTTTAATGGATAATAGAATAAATTACATTTCAAAATAAACACATAAAAGGTTATTGCCCAACAACAATGTTACAATCATCTATACTTAAATTTAATATAACTACAAAATTTCTTAGAACAATCAAACACAAAGTTACATAACTCATTATAAGTAATTGTGATATTTAACTAAAATATTCAATATAGATTATTTATACACAATTCAACTAAAACATTTCAAACAAAACTTCCATTAATTAATAAGTGTGCATTTATTAATATTAAACTAATTATAATAATTGCTAGCCATCAGATCGAAAAAATAATATCTGGATAAAAGTTTACTGCTGTATTGTTCAGTATAATGTTATAGTTTTCATAAATGTATGCAATATGCATATTACATCATTATTAATTATATACAGTGATGTATGTTTTATCATTTATATGTTGAGCTTTGTAATATTTCAATAAAATATGTTTGATGGAATAATTTTTCCATCAACCTTATATATTGTTAGTTAATTATTATATAAGTTAAAATAATTATACTTCACAATTATTTTATTTTAAATGTCTATACAATTTTTTTTTTCTGGAATAGTCTATAGAACTTAGTAATTTTTGTAGAATTTTAACTGAACCCTAGTAGAACTGAAATATTTGCTGTCTTCTTTTATTTGAAAAGAAAAAAAAATATAGAGTATCATTGCTATCTAAGTGGGAAAATGTTAGGGAGAGTTTTTTTATACGTATACGTATAGACATCAAGTGTGTCTACACTACTAGGGTTGTACTTACTGTCTAGAAACCAAAGGAGAAAGTCTCTATAAAGAATGGTACTCGAAATTTGTGTGTGACCTGTTTTGTTTGTTACGCACACATCGTACTTTATGTAAAATTCCAAGTATTTATTATTATTATTATAGTTTTATGTCAACTGTGATTGTAGTTGAGTCAAAAATACTTATGTCATTATTCCTAGGATAAACATAATTTTTATGTATACATATATTAATAATAATTTTAGAGACTAAATACATTACATATAATATTTAACGTCATTGCAACCAAGAACTTTAAAATCATTTTTTAATTTAATTCATCAATTTATCAAAAAAGAAAATTAGGTTTAAAAAACTACTTTATTGGCCATAAACCTTACTAATAAAAAATAAATATACAACAAGAATAACATAATTTAATTTTCCTGATTATTAATTCAAAAATATTTTTAAAATTGAATTTTGATAAGCATTTTTGTACTTCGACTGAAATTTGTTTATATTTTAGCTGAAACGAAAATATCTTACTATATTAAAAATTAAAAAACCACTTATTTTCACTTGCGATGAATATTTTATTTAAATAACGATGTTTTCGCAAACATTATTTATTACAGATATTAAATAAATACTTAAACAGATATATTATAAAAAATATTGACTGGAACCTTAAGTTTTTTTTGTATTTTTATAAGAAGCGATATTTTGTTTAAATTGCATTCGCTTTCATTGTATCGCATCATTTATTTAAACTACAAAACCATATGGATCAATTTTATTCGTTAAAACTTAATAGGTACCTATAAGCTAATAATTTAAATTAATAATTTAAAAATAATAATCTTTTGACCTACATCGCTCATACCTGTTGAAAAAAATGAATCAGTGAATTGATTTAAAACTCTAACTTACAGTAATTTCTACACACTTGTTATATACACATATATTTACCCTCTCGAGTGTGCCAGCTGCTTAACGTGGAAGATGACAGGGATTGGGAGTACGACATGAATAGTGTGTGGCTGATCGGAATTCTAAATCAGTTGGTAAAAATTGAAATCTTGTCCCTAGCCATGATTCTTATAGAGTGAAAGATTAGACACAATTACGTCAGCTTAGAATGTTTATGGACTATCGATAGTTTTGTTATCCGATATTGTTTCTAACGATAGTTTGTTTTTATAAAATTTATCTTATATAAGGTCGATTTGTTAGTACACTACAAATGCATTTTAATTTGGCGTATATCCATTTTATTTACTGTCAATTGAAACTTACCATTTTTAGACAAGCAGGTTCGAATACCTTTTCACATAGTTTTGGACTATAACCAATTCAATCTAAATCTTTAACTACAATTAAGATCAATGATCAGTGTTATTTATCAATTGTAGAGCTAAAAATAAAATTAATTCTTAATAAAGAATAGATGTTAGATTTTAGCTAATAAATATAAATTTATAAGATAATGGCAGCATCAAAAACAAGCTAAATTCATAATATTAAGAATCTTAATACAAAATGACATATATTTACATAGTTTACTGGTTTAATTTACAAGAGTTTTTCTTGCGTATTATAAACTTCTAACTTCTATATAAAAACATAAATGTTTTTATGAATGTAATAAAAATTAATTTTTCCGAATTTAAAATAATATATTGGTATGAACATTCAACTGTTATATTAATATTACCAAAAAATGTTTCAAAATAGAGTGAAATATCATGTTTAAAACCATGTGAGGTATTTAATGGTAAATCATATGTTGTTTTAAAGTATTACATAAAAATTATTGTACTTACCTATATACTATTATGTTAAACCTGTCTAACCCAAGAACGTTTAATTTCAAAAATATAATTTATTTTCCCACGGTAAATTTAGATGGTAATTTAGTTAAGTGAATTTTTTTTTTTTTTTTATTTGAAAACTGGTAAGTGATGAAATATTTTCATGAATCCTCGCCTCATAAAATGAGAAAAGTGTTAAAAAATCCGTAAAGCCTACGTTATAAAAAATATATTATATAATAAATGTTATATTAAATTCTTCATTGGGTTAATGGGCCGAGTAGTTTCAAAGAATTTCAACTCAATCGTTTTTTATCGTAACAACTATAAACTATCGAAATCATAAATATTAATAATTCATTAACATAAAAAGCAACTACAACAATATAAATATGAAACAATTATACAAATTTTAATGAATGTAGGTTAAAATAAACATTTTAATAATTTTCAATACTCCTTTTGGATATCCGTTGGAAATATTGAATGAAAACTCTTTTCAACAATTTCTTATTTTAATACATTTACGGATAATTTATACGCTATTTTTTAAATCAATAATAAACAATAATATATAATTCCAAGTTGTTTTATTTTTTACTATATGATTAATAGTTGCTGTGAAGCTTATACTTATCTAAACTAATTAAAAAAATTCCCTCAATTAGTAAAATGTTACTTAAATGAGGCTTTCTGTATTCAATATATGTATTTAAGGTGAAGTAAGAATATATAAATGATTAATGTCACATAAGTTATTATTATTTTTCAATAATTTAATAATATATTAAAATTTGTTCATAAATATAAATTTTCGATATATCTTAGGA